CTCTCTCTCTCTATCTCTATCTCTCTCTCTCTCTCTCAATTGCAACTTCGCCGGAGTATAACGGTCTATTAGTATTAGACACAAACACGCTACTTCATGCCAGGTCAGGGGTTAGTGAAGTGAGAGATACAGCATTGCGTGGGCTTGGAGTGGAGGGAGAGGGAGAGGGGGAGAGAAAAAGAAAGAGAAAGAAAGAAAGAAAGAGAGGGAGAAAAAAAGAGACTGAGAAAGAGGGGGAGAGAAGGGAGATAGAGGGGATGGGGGTGGGTTGAGTCTGAGTAAAGAGAACAAGCACATCGACACAACAACGGTCATACAGAGCAGGGAAGATGTAAGCATGACAAATAGACAGAAAAAACAGAGGGAAAGAAAAGAAGTAGGACCTACCATTGGTGCCTTCCAACCACCCACAGGACGAGAGGGGGAGAGGGGGGGGGAAGAGGGGACGGGAATCGAAGGAAAGCGGAAAGAGACATAGAGGCAGAGACAGAGAGAAAGAGGGAGAGAGAGTGTGTGTGTGAGAGAGAGAGAGAGAGAGAAAGAGACGGAGGGGGAGGGGGCGAGAGCAACAAATAGAACGCAGACAGAGACAAAGAGACAGAGAAAGAGAGAGAGAGAGAGAGAGAGAGAGAGAGAGAGAGAGAGAGAGAGAGAGAGGGGGTGTTGGTGGGAAGTACAGGATAGGCCAGAGAAAGAGACGGAGGGGGGTAGAAATATGGAAGGTAGAAAAGAGTACAAGAAGAGAAAAATAGAGTGTGAGTGAGTGAGTGAAAGAGAAAAATAAAGACATCCAGTCGGCAAGGATCAGTGGATCAATCACTATTCACAGAGCGAAAAAATAGAGCCAGACAGAGAAGAAAGAAAACGATGTTTGAGCGAGACTGGGCTTTACTTTCACTCACGCTTCAACACTGTCTGCTCCCGTGCAGACTATTATAAATGCAAACCATTCGATCTTCGTACTTTCAATAGACAGAAAAAGAAAAGAGAAGTAACTTGTCGGTGATGAGATTATACGTCCGAGTGTGCCATCTTTACACAAGTCTGTGATTGGCTCGGTTTTGAGTTCGTCTGTATTTTGTTTTCTATTTTGTTGTTTTGGTTTTTTAATAGAGTATATTTGATTGGACGATTTGAGCAACATTCGCTTCGTTTGTATCTGATGGAAAAGAAATGCTTTGTATTTTAGTAGGGTCCATGTGATTGAATGAGTGCATAAGGTCTCCTTGAGTTGTTCCTGATTCAAAAGAAATATGTATGTTGTTTTTAAGTAGAGTGCGTTTGATTGAACGACGTGCATGACATCTCCTCCGGTCGTTTACGATGCAAAAAAAACCCACCAAAAAAAAACAAAAAAACTTCAACCTTTTGTCTTTGGGAGCATAGGTTTTAGTAGTTTTAGTAGAGGGTCTACGGCATTCGCAACTGCATAAGGTCATATGAGCGCCAAGGGGTGGATGTCAACAGAGAAGTCCTTACAGGGAATCGGAGTTACTCTGCTCACCTCTCTAGCTTCAACAGGACAAAGTCTGCTTCGACTATCAAGGCACCGCGGAAATAGCTGGTCACAAGAGTGTGACAAACATTCAAAAGAAGTAGAGGAAAATGACGATAGTAAGGATTAGGACAGAAAAAGTAGCAG